CTAGTTGATTATAGAAGCTAATACTGAACCACTCTTAATTGTAGTAACATTTCTAAGACAACAGTTTTGAAGCTATTTTTCCTTTGTTTTGTAAAGGGGCTAAGGTTGTAGGAGTGTGTGGTATTAAATGAACTGTAAAATTGCCTTTGAAATTTGTTTAAAAAACTAGCAGATGAGCCCTAGGGGATGATCTTATATTAATAAAGATTACAAAAATAAAGTTCTTGTCCTGTTAGGTCAGTGTTATGCTTTAATTATTTCTAATTTTCAGAATTTTTTTAGTATTTTAAAGTAATGGCAGTTGTTATGGAGTTTTTAGAATTTTGAAACAAACATTTATAAGGATAGTCAACGGTATTTAAGTCTTTTATGTGTAAAATGGCCAAATTTATAATTTTAAATTATCCTTTAAAAAGGAATTTTTCACATCAGATTTGGGTAAATAATTGTAGTGACTTAGTTTGAATATCATATAATTTATTAGTCTAGATTGCTTAGTACCAATTTATTGATTTAAGCATTTCCCACTAAATATATATTGCTATTGATATATATGTACAAAATTAAATTTTTTTTTGTTTGGAAAATTTAGAGGACACAGCTGGAAAATAATGCATTTTCCTTAATAGATTTGGTGTGTATGGCTTTGGGTGGTGCTGGTAGACATATCATGAAATAAAAGACTTTCATCACAACTATGTTAACTTTTTTAAAAAAATTATTGACTTGAGAAAGATATCTATTTGTTGTTTCACTTATTTATGCATTCATTGGTTGATTCTGGTATGTGCCCTGTCCAGGGATTGAACCCGCAACCTTATCTGGCATAACTGGACAATGCTCTAACCAATTGAGCTACCCAGCCTGAGCAAAAAACTATGTTGGTTCTTAATAAGCACATAACTGTGTTTTTACATACATTTTAAAGAGTAGAAGTACTAATGAGAAATTTCAGTATCATGAATAATTGGATTTTCAGAGGTATTTAAGGAATTTTTTCCCTAGATTTCCTTTTAAGTGTATTTTTTGACATCTATGTGTAGAATCATTGTATCATTAGGCACTGGTTTTACTTTTTTGATAAGTGTCAATATAATTTTCCAGTGCCAATTTGATTGATTTTTGGTTATTTTCACGAAAAGACTCCAACTCTCAATATTTTGGTAAGTGTATATATTTGTTTATGTAATGGAAACATTAAAAAAGGGAAAGGGTGTACTGAGCATCGGAATTGATTAGAGCATTAGCATTAAATTCCCACGCAGTATTGTGTTTATTAAAAAGCAGGACATGCATGGGAATAGAATATCTTTTATGCTAAAATTAATATGCCTTACAGAAGTTATAAAGAGTAGATGGAAATCATATGGTTCATACTGAAAATGTTGGCTATTTAAAAAGTATTGTGGAGCATTGAAAGTAAAACCGTTTTCTGAAGAGAAAATTAATGAAGGCATTTGGTGATACTGAAAATAAATGACAAGTCAAAAACAAAATTTTGTCAGTAAAGGAGTTTGGGGAACTCATGGAGTGAGTTCATGAGAAAGAAAACAATAATTGGATATGAAAAGGTTGCCATGTTATTTAAATTTGTAGTAGGATATTCTCACCCAGAAAAATTCCCAAGTATTTCATTTTTAGATGTAGTCCATAAGATCAATTCGAAAAATTTTTGGCAAGCTCGTTTATGAAATTAATGATAAAGCCAGATAGATTTCACTTTCGTAAGTTAGAAAGGTTCCAGGAATTATCCTTTCTCAAATGAATAACTGACCAAATACTTTGTAAGGATCGGGCAGTGGTCCATTTGCTGCCAAATGTAGACCTGTGTGAATTCTTGTATGTTGTCCGTGTTCAATGAGCAGCTACTTTAAAGTTACTTAGAAATTTTGGCAGTTGAAAGATTATATGAAAGTAGTCTGTCTCAGAAGGAGGACTAATAGTTGGCACTAAGAAACCAACAGTAATGAGAAACCTGTGGTTAGTAAAAAAGCAAATCATAGAACTGATTGAGTGAAAACTTTTAGTTACTCGTTCAGTGCAGTAGTTGACTAAAAAATATATTACTCAAAGACAAGGGCCTAGCTGGCGTGACGCTCAGTGGTTGAGTGTTGACCTATGAACCAGGAAGTCACAATTCAATTTCTGGCCAGGGCACGTGTGGCTGGATCCCCAGTGTGGGGTGTGCAGGAGGCAGCCAATGAATGATTCTCATCATTGATGTTCCTATTTCTCTCTCTCCCTTCGTCTCTGAAATCAATAAAAATATATTACAAAACGAAGACTATAAGGAAGCACTGTTTATTTTAAAAATAAATCTTCATTGTTGAAAGTATTATCTATGTCCTCTTATCCCCCGCACTGACCTCCTCCACCCTATTGTCTGTGTCCATGGGTTATGCATACATGCATACAAGGTCTTTGGTTGATGACCTCTCACCCACTTGCCCTCACCTGCCTTCCCTCCGAGATTCTGCACTCTATTCCATGCTTCCAAGTCTTTGGATCCACTTGTTCATTAGTTTCTTGTGTTACTTAGATTCCACATATGAGTGAGATCATGTGTACTTGTCTTTCTCTGACTGACTTATTTCACTTAGCATGATACTCTCCAGGTCCCTCCATGCTGTCTCAAAGGGTAAAAGATTCTTATATGTTTATAAGAGTCATATTTTCTTGTTGAATCATTCCCTTTAGTATTGTGATGTGGCCTTCTTTGTCTTTTGTTATGGCCTTTGTTGAGTATTGCTACTTCAGCTTTTTTTACCCTTTCCATTTGCATGGAATATATTTTTCCATCCCTGCTTCATAGTATTTCATGGTATAAATGTACCACAGCTTTTTTATTTACTCAGCTGTTGGGCACTTGGGCTGTTTCCAGATCTTAGCTATTGTAAATTGTGTTGCTATGAACATAGGGGTGCATACATTCTTTCTGATTGGTGTTTTGGGTTTCTTATGATATATTCCTAGAAGTAGGTTCACTAGGTCAAATGGGAGTTCCATATTTAATTTTTTGAGGAAATTTCATACTGTTTTCCATAACAGCTACACCAGTCTGCATTCCCACCAGCAGTGTATTAAGGTTCCCTTTTCTCCACATCCTTGCCAGCACTTGTCATTTGTTGATTTGTTGATGGTAGCCATTCTGACAGGTGTGAGGTGATACCTCATTGTTGTCTTAATTTGCATCTCTCTGATAATCAGTGACTTGGAGCATTTTTTCATGTTTCTTGGCCATCTATCTGTCCACTTTGGAGAAGTATCTATTTAGGTCCTTTGCCCACTTTTTTTTTTAAAATATATATTTTACTGACCTTCCACAGAGAGGAAAGGAGAGGAAGAGAGAATCAGAAACATCGATCAGCTGCCTCCCGCACACTCCTGTGTCCGCAACCAAGGTACATGCCCTTGACCCAGGACCCTTGAGTCCGCAGGCCAACGCTCTATCCACCGGCCAAACCGGCCAGGACGTTTGCCCACTTTTTTATTGGATGGTTTGTCTTACTTCTGTTAAGTTGTATGAGTTCCTTATGTATTTTGGATATTAACCCTTTATCAGACGTATCATGGCCAAATATGTGCTCCGACACAGTGCGTTTCCTTTTGATGGTTTCTTTTGCTGTGCAGAAGCTTTTTATTTTGATGTAATCCCATTTGTTTATTTTCTTCTTAGTTTCCTTTGTCCTAGGACAGTGATGGCGAACCTTTTGAGCTCGGCGTGTCAGCATTTTGAAAAACTCTAACTTAACTCTGGTGTCATGTCACATAGTCTGAGATTTTGCTGCCTATGGTTTCGTCTAGGTATTTTATGGTTTTATGACTTACATTTAAGTTTTTCATCCAGTTTGAGTTTATTCTTATGTATGATGTAACTTGGTGGTCCAGTTTCATTTTTTTTGCATGTATCTGTTAAATTTTCCCAATACCATTTATTGAAGAGACTGTTTTGACTCCATTGTATGCTCTTGCCTTCTTTGTTAAATATTAATTTATCATAATTACTTGGGTTGATTTCTGGGGTCTCTATTCTGTTCCATTGATCTATATGCCTGTTCTTGTGCCAGTACCAGGCTGTTTTGTGTATAGTGGCTTTGTTCGTATACTAGTAACTACTACGATTGTATTTCTCTTGTTCTCTCCTTTAAAGTCCATCAAGAATTTTTAAATATATTTGGGTGCTCCTATATTGGGTGCATATATGTTTACAAGGGTTATATTTTCTTGTTGAATCATTCCCTATAGTATTGTGATGTGGCCTTCTTTGTCTTTTGTTATGGCCTTTGTTTTGAAGTCTGTTTTGTCCAATTTGAGTATTGCTATTTCAGCTTTTTTTCCTCTTTCCATTTGCGTGGAATATATTTTTCTATCCCTTAACTTTCAGTCTGTATATATCTTTTGTTCTGAGGTGGGACTCTTGTAGACAGCATATATATGGGTCATGTTTTCTTATCCATTTAGCTACCCTATGTCTTTTGACTGGAGCATTTAATCCATTTACATTTAAGGTTATTCCTGATAGGTATATATTTATTGCCATTTTTATATTCTTTATGGCTATGATCTCTCCTTTTCTTCTTCTCAGAGCAATCCCTTTAACATTTCTTGCCTTGCTGGTTTGGTTATAATATACTCCTTGAACCTTTTTTGTCTGGGAACCTTTATATTTCACCTTCAATTTAAAATGATAGCCTCAGGAGTGGATACAGGAGTCTTGGGTTTATGCCCCTGCTTTTCATTACTTGGAGTACTTCATGCCACTCCCTTCTGGCCTGAAGTGTTTCTGTTGTCAAGTCAGTTGACATTCTAATGGGAACTCCTTTATATGTAATTTGCTCTCTCTTGCTGCCTTTAAGATTCTTTTATTGTTTGTCTTTAACATTTTCCATTTTAATTATGATGTGTCTAGGCGTGAGTTTATCTTGATTGGGACTCTGTGCCTTCTGAACTTGTGTGACATTTTTCTTCACCAGCTTGGGGAAGTTTTTTGTCATTTTTAAAAATAGGTTCTCTGTTCCTTGCTCATCCTCTGCCCCTTCTGGTATTCCTGTAATGCAGATGTTGTAACGTTTCATGTTGTCCCAGAGCTCCCTTTGTTGAAAAGCAAGGAGTCTTTATTTATTAATCAATCCTAGGATTGGCTCCCAGCCTCTGTCCGACGCAGCGGTAAGGCGAGAGAGCGTGTCCCAGGAGAACAAAGGTTATATAGGCCTAGTTATTTGGTTGGGCTTAGGGGGTGACATGGGTTACAGAGATTGGTCATTTAGGTCAGGGTTTTTCATCAGGGTCTTACAGCACAAAGGTCCAGAAGTGACCAGCACATTCTGAGGCTTGGGCCGTCCCCCACTATAGCCTTATCAGGACCTTAGCTGCATTCCTGGAGCTTCATTGGTCCACTCAGGTGGTGGTTGGGGGAGTTAGGTTAATACCAGCATTCTTGTGGTCACTCAGAAAAGGAGGGGGCTTGGGCTGAGGGCCCAACCCTACAAGGCAAGATAGGGGAGAGGGAGGGGAGTATGTTTCTGCTTTGTCCTTTCACCTTAAGCTATTTTCCTGCTTTTTAATTCTTTTTTCCATTGGCTGCTCTAATTGGGTATTTATTTCTACCTTGTCTTCCATCCTCTGCTTCATCCAGTCTATTTTTAATCCCTTCCAGTGTGCATGTCAGAAATATCATTCTTCATTTCTGTCTGGTTTTTGTTAATGGCCTCTATTTCCCTTTCTATGCTGTTGTAATTTGCATTAAATTGTTTAAGCATTTTCATAACCATTGCTTTGAACTCTGTCTGATAGGTTGCTTGCCTTCATTTCATTTAGTTCTTTTTCTGGAGTTTCCTTCTTTTCTCTCATTGGGGGGTTGTTTCTTTGTCTCCCCATTTTAGCTGTCTCTTTGGATTTGCTTCCATGTATTAGAACTGTTATGCCTCCCAGTCTCTGTGGGATGGCCGTATGGAGAAAGTGTCTTGAGGGGTCCAGTGGTGTAGTCTCTTCACCTGTGCTGGATGCACTAGAAATGCCCCTTGTGTGTGTGGTTTGGGCTCTCCTGTTATAATTGGGACTTGATTGTTGATGTTGCATTTGTCCGGCTTGCTGCCAGTGAGGTCAACCCCAGTGTCGTCATGCCAGCTGTCCAGTGGACAGGGACTCCTCAGCCCCGAGGCTGGGTCTGCCTTGAGTCTCACACCTTGATTGTCTCTGTTCTGAGTTGTAGTACCTACCCCCATGGATCTGGTCCAGCAGGTTTCAGCTGCAGATGCTTGAGGTCTGCAGGGGTCTGGGCATAGTTCCTCTGGCATGCAACTCCCTGTGAGGTTATGGATTCTGCTAGCATGTGACTCACTGCGGGGTCCCTGCTCCTGTGGTGAGGATCACCTGTGAGGTCCCTCTAGTGCAGTGGTTCTCAACCTTCCTAATGCCACAACCCTTTAATATAGTTCCTCATGTTGTGGTGACCCGCAACCATAAAATTATTTTTGTTGCTACTTCATAACTAATTTTGCTATTGTTATGAATTGTAATGTAAATATCTGATATGCAGGATGTATTTAAGCGACCCCTGTGAAAGGGTCATTCGACCCCCAAAGGGGTTGCGACCCACAGGTTGAGAACCACTGGTCTAGTGTGCCACTCACTATGTGGTCCTTGAGCCCATGGTGGGGGGTTGTATGCAACTCTCTGCAAGGGTCCCTTGTGTGGTACCACTGGCATGTGGCTCACACTGGTTGGGTATGGGGTGGTATCCGAGGCTAGTTGGTTGGTGGAAAGGCTGTGCTTCTAGGCACTGCTGCTCCCCCCCTAAAGATGGTGTGGTTTCCATGCCAGAGAGGTAGCAGGGGCTCTTTGTCCAGGAGAGCCTGATCCACTAGCCCCCGAGACTCTACAAGATCTAACTGTCCCTACCTTCCCCACACGTATCATGCACGTCCACATACACCCCTCTCTCTTACTCACATTCTCTCCCTCACTCCCATCCTGCTGGCTGCCATGTTGAATCCAAAAATTTTGAATGAATTTTTGTACATTGGGACATACTGTAATCTAGTGTTTTTTTTCATTTATCTGAAGTTTTGTTATTATACAGGAAGGCAGTGGATTTTTATTTTCTGTTGTAACTTTACAGTATTTGTTTCTCATGAGTTTTTTTATGGAGTTTTTAGGTTTTCCACGTATGTACAGAATCATGTCTTCTGCAAAAAGTGACACTTGTACTACTTCCTTCCTGATTGGATGTCTTATTTCTCTGGCCTCCTTGTTCTGGCTAGCACTTGAACTATGTCGAATAAGAGTGATGAAAGTGAGCATCCGTGTCTTGTTCCTGATTTTAGAGGAAAAGCTTTCAGGTTTTCATCATTGAGTATCATATTGACTGAGGGTTTGTCATATATAGCCTTAATTATGTTGAGGTACATTCCTTTTATTACTATGTTATTGAGTGTCTTAATTATTAATGGGTACTTTGTCTTAGCAAATGTTTTTTTCTGCAGCTATTGATAAGATTATTTGATTTAAAAAACTTCTTTATTGTTGAAAGTATTACATGTGTCTTCCTCCCCCCCCCATTGTAGATTATATGATTTTTATTCTTTGTTTTGTTAATGTGGTATATTACGTTAATTGATTTGTATATGTTGAGCCATCCTTGTGCTCCTGGAATGAATCCCACTTTATCGTGATATATTATTTTTTTAATGTACTGTTGTATTCAGTTTGCCTATATTTTGTCTAGGATTTTTGCATCTGTATTCATCAGAGATATTGGTCTGTAATTTTTGTGTGTGTTTGTTTTATCCCTGCCAGATTTTGTTATCAGGGTCATGCTGTGTTAGGAAGTGTTGCCTCTTCTTTAATTTTTTTTTTGCAAGAGTCTGAGAAGGATAGATTTTAAATATTCTTTGAGTGGTTGGTAGAATTCACTGGTGAAGCCATCTGGTTCTGGACATTTTTGGGGAGATGGTTTAAAAATTATTATTTTGTTGTTGTTGTTAAGCCTCACCTGAGGATATTTTCCATTGATTTTTAGGGAGAGTGAAAGAGAGAAGTAAAGGCGGAGAGAAACATCAATGTGAGAGACACATCGATTGGTTGCCTCCTGCACGAGCCCTGACCAGGGCCCGGGCTGGGGAGGAGCCTACAACCAAGGTATCTGCCCTTTACTGGAATCGAACCTGTTACCCTTTGTTACACAAGCGGATACTCTATCTACTGAACCAAACTGGGTAGGGCTGAGTTTGGGGGGGTGGTTTTTGATGTTTGTTTCAATTTCCTTACCGCTGATTGGTTTATTAAGATTTCTAGTTATTCATAATTTAGTCTAGGAAGCTTATATGTTTCTTGGAACCTATCCGTTTCTTCCGGATTATTGCATTTGGTGGCAAATAGTCCTTCATAGTATTCTAGTACGACTCTTTGTATATCTGATGTCTGTGCTGACTTCTCTCATTTTGGCTTTTGATTATATGGATTTTTTTCTCCTTTTTCCTTAGTGAGTCTAACCATGGGTTTGTAAATTTTATTTTATTTTTCAAAGAATTATTTGTTGTATTTTTTTGTATAGTCTTTTCTCTATTTCATTCAATTCTCTAATTTTTATTATTCACTTCTGACTTTGGGTTTAGTTCTCCTTTTTCTAGTACTTTAAAATGTAATGTGAGGTTGTTTACTTGGGATTACTCTTGTTTCTGGAGATAATCCTGTAATGATATAAAGTGCCCTCTTATTACTGCTTTCACTGCATCCCAGAATTTTTGAGATGACGTATTATCATTCTCATTTGTCTGTATATCTTTTTATTTCACCTTTTATTTCTTCTTTGACTCAGTCATGGTTTAGTAGTATGTTGCTTAATCACATACTTGTGGGTTTCTTTACTCTCTTTTTGCATTTGATTTCTAATTTCAAGGCATCGTGATCAGAGAATATGCTTGGTACAATTTTAATCTTGAATTTGTTGATGTTACTTTGTGACCCAACATGTCAATCTTTGAGAATGTTCCATGTGCACTGGAGAAGAATGTATAAGCTGATGTTCTGGGATTAAAGGGTCTGTAAATGTCAATTTGATCTAGTGTGTCATTAAGGCTGATATTTCTTTATTGATTTACTGTTTGGATGATTTAGATAGAGCTGTCAGTGGAGTATTAAGTCCCCAACTGTGATTGTGTTTTGACCTGTTTCTCCCTTTAGTTTTGTGACTAATTGTTTTATACATTTCAGTGCTCCCTAATTGGGTGCATATGTATTAAGAAGTGTTATGTCTTCTTGATATAGTATCCCCTTTATCATTATAAAATGTCCATCTTTATCTCTTGTTACCTTTGTTATCTTGAAATTTATTTTGTCAGATGTATGTATGGCTTCACCTACTTTTATGTGGATGTTATTTGGAGAGTCATTTTTATTTTTCACCCTTTCCCTTTTTTTAGTGTGTGTGTGTGTGTGTGTGTGTGTGTGTGTGTGTTAAATGTCCACACCTGAGGATTGTTTGCCATTACTTTTCAGAAAGAGTGGAAGGGAGGGAGATAGAGAGATAGAGAGAAACAGAGAGAAACAGAGAGAGAGAAACAGTTTGAGAGGGAGACCGGTTTCCATCAACTGGTTGCATTCCTCACACCTCTGACTCCGGGCGGGAGTGAACCCACAACCGAGGTATGTGTCCTTGAATGGGATTTGAACCTGTGACCCTTCATTGTGCTGGCTGAAGCTCTAATCACTGAGCCACACCTGCCTGGGCTCACCCTTTCACTTTGAATCTACTTTTGTCTTTGGACCTAAGATGTGTCTCTTGAAGGCAGAATCTGGTTGGGTTTTGTTTTTTGATCCAGTGTGCTAATCTGTGTGTCTCTATTGGTGAGTTCAGTCGATTTATATTTAGAGTAATTATTGATGTATGAGGATTTCCTATAGCCATTTCATCCCCCCCTCTTTTTTTTTGTGGCAGCCTCTGCTGTATCTGGATGTGTTTGGCAAGGATCCAACTGCACATCAAGGCTGGCTTTTACCAACACCAGGCCCTGGGGCAGGTCAGCAAAAGTCCCAAGGAACCCTGAGATCTACCTCTGCCTGCCTCCGCCTTTTGGCTGCCTGATGGGCTCAGTCCCTGAAGGAGCTTCTGCTAGTACTTGAGTAGCATGAGATGGGTTCTCAGTGGGTCAGTAGGTAGGAACAAGTGGTGTTCACCAGATTGATACAGGTTCAAAGTTGGTGCCAGTGCTGGGCCTAAGACTACCTAGCAAATGTTCCAGGGTTTACCAAGTCTATCTTCTACCCACTAGGTGCTCACATACCTTTGTTGTGGAGCAGGGTCTTATGGAGTCTTCAGAGTAAGGCCTCAGAGTTTATCAGGTCCTAAGAGAGTAAGATTTGGCTGTGTGGAGGTAAGACTCTGTACCAGTTGGGTGTGCGAGGGGAAAATTTCTCCCGTTCTAGAACTGCACGACTCAAGTCTGTCCCAAAGTCTTCCAGGAGTCAGAGCTCAGTAGGTCAAGGCTTGCAGGAAGGTGGGGTGTGTCCCTCTTTCCATAGCCACATGACTCAGTCTGTCCCAGGTTATGCCTAGCCCTTGACAGGGTGGCATAG